AGCCATGTGTGAGTTGAAGTAATTTTAAGGTGAAGGCGGGAGAAAAAGTCCTTTATATCTCACAAGGAAAGTCCAATGTTTAATTATTCAACAAAACATTGAGTGCGACCGGTTTCGAAGTAACATCACTTCATCTTCAGGCTCGCCTAGTGGAAAGGAGAATATGTGGTGTAAGGTGTGTTGACTTTGAGCCCACAATATATAAAATAGTAAAAAATAGAAAAAACTCACCATACTCTCCATCCACTAGGGAATACTACAAACCAGTTTCATCAAAACGTGGGGGATGAAATAAATTGTAAAACAAAACAATGTTACAAGTTATAAAGTTAAAAATATTTGAAAAACAAATATTAGTCGATAAAACAGTTAAAAATTTTAAAATATCGTCTTGAATATTTTAAAATTTTTAACTGTTTTATCGACTAATATTTGTTTTTCAAATATTTTTAACTTTATAACTTGTAACATTGTTTTGTTTTACAATTTATTTCATCCCCCACGTTTTGATGAAACTGGTTTGTAGTATTCCCTAGTGGATGGAGAGTATGGTGAGTTTTTTCTATTTTTTACTATTTTATATATTGTGGGCTCAAAGTCAACACACCTTACACCACATATTCTCCTTTCCACTAGGCGAGCCTGAAGATGAAGTGATGTTACTTCGAAACCGGTCGCACTCAATGTTTTGTTGAATAATTAAACATTGGACTTTCCTTGTGAGATATAAAGGACTTTTTCTCCCCCCTTCACCTTAAAAGTAGCAAGAACCTCTTAAAATACTGCCCTTAAAACATAATTAGCTTGTTTAGTTTACCAGGGGCGGACTAGGTTGTACATTTTAATGCTTACATTTTTAACATCCTGTATGATAAGGAGTTAAAAAAATAAATTTCGATACCTTGAATATTAATCTAAAGAAAAGGTACTCTTCTTCATTGATTATGATCAAACCAATATCGGTAATTATGTTCATTTACAAATCCACTGAGACTAAATGTTGATTCGTCGGCAAAAAACAATGTTGTTCATCAACATTTTATTTCTATTTATGGCATTCATCATTTTCTGACAGAATTGCATTCGCCTATCTGAGTAATCTGCACTGCATTCCACTTTATAGGGATGACATTTATTGCATTACATTGGTAGGTATTTCTGTCAGAAATGTACAAGAATCGTATAAATAACATGGCGCATGTGGCACTTATAATGTCGAAAAGTGAAGCGAGATGGCAAAACAATTCAAATTGGTACAATATGATAGCACAGACAACTGTGTGGACAGTTATTCATTAATTATTTAAAACAACGTTTACCTTTCTGTTTTATTATTTTCTTATGATAAGGTAAGTCAGAGACCACCCGAACCCATATTGATGGATTCAGAAAGAAAAGATATATCTGAAAAAAACATACAGGTTATCTATATCTGTAACGTGTGGAAGGTGGGTTACCCCCCCCCCACGGCACTTAGGCCTTACTAGACCCATTGTGCTTCCTCCTAAGATGATAGGCACCTCCTAGCTCGTGAGCCAGCCTACAGATTTAATGTAAACTCTACTCAACTTAAACGCTAGTAACGCGTAAACACAATAGTTCCTTGACAACAGCACATTGAGCTAGAGGGTAGAGAAACATCCAAAACAGAATCACTGTGCTGGCCAATAGCAGCCGGGATTGTGCTTGCTGTGGTCAAGGGGTTATTGCACTGATCACAGATCAGTGGGTTATTGAGTTTGCGCGTTACTTGCATTTAAGTTGAATAGAGTATAGTTGACAACGTCGCCAAGAGGTGCTTCTTTTATATGGGCCGGTGTTAGCCGATACTCGCCGAGCACAAATCTTCTAATAAATGAGAGCGTCGCGGGCAGTTGTAGAGGACATGCTCGATAGTCTCTTCTTCTTGTTCGCACCCCTTGCAGAGTGCGGATTCTGACCACCCCATGATATGGAGATGCTTTCGTAGTTGGCAATGACCAGTCAGAATGCCTGTAACGAGATTGTGGGAACTTTATTTGTTTATCCCATCAATAAAATATTTAAGCAGTTTGAAGATATATTTACAGAAGTATAATTATTATAAAATAGAAATGTCATAATAATATTTTGTTTTGTTTTCAATATCCTCTCTCCCGGCAACCAGGGAGCCACGGTGAAGTGAGCTTAATATTTATCCATCCACGACTGCCACAAAGATTAGAGGTTATAAATTTGCGGAAACTATGATTAAGGTGAAAGGTAGTAATTAGTGCAACAGCAGGCACTACAGAGATGCAGATAATGTCTAGTCATAGTCACGTATTTGTTGGCTGTAGTGTTGTCACTAGTAATACCACTAGAGGTCAAATTATTTCCGGAAATTTTTTCGAGCTCATGAATATTTTGAAAATTTCCCGAGTCGCAGACGAGGGAAATTTTCTAAAAATATTCATGAGCGAGAAAAAATTTCCTGATATTAATTTGACCTCGCGTGGTATTCGGTAAGAAAATTCCACGCCGAATTATGGTTGAAAATTAAATATTTTTAAAATTTATTTTTCGTTTCTCAACAATGCAAATTATTTTCTCCAAGTCACCAGTGAAACATAAAAGGTGTTGTCGCCTTGATTGTTGAGTTGTCATGGTAACTAAGTGAGACCCTAACCTCGAATATAATTTCAGTTTTGAAGTTGTCAAGCGGGCCGACGTAAAAATATGTTTCGCTGCAATTATTTAGGCCTTCAAATTGCTTATGTCTACTCATTGTAGTTGCATGGGAATACCATTTGAAAATAGAAAATAGTATATTCTTTAATTTTACGTAAGTTTTGAATAACTACAAGTGGTAGAAAATTGTTTTTCTGCGTTTTTTATAAACATGCGTTATGAGCGCTTTAAAATGGTATGAAATTCATAACCAGCGTCAGCAAGCATCAATCGTAGGAGGCTGTGATCATTGTATTTTGACAGTTCAAAACATTAAATAACTCGCGTTTCGTTGCGATAAAGAATATTGCACAGCAAGTAAAACCAACAAAATTACCTATTTGTTTAAAAATGAATCGATTTGAAAATCATACGCTATGCAAAATATGCGTGAAATTGTCTGATGTAATGATCAATCATTGCACCATGACTTACTTACTCGGATTAATAGAGGATTGTGGCTCCAACTTGAAAAACGAAAATTTGTTCCGAATTGTCCACGAATATTTGCACCTAAACTACGCAAAATTCAAAGTGCTGAATGGGAAAAAGGTGAATAAATTAGTGTCTAAATATTATATATATTTTTTATTAGACATAGACACATAATTCAAAGCATCCAAAGTCCTGCATTTTCGCCATTAAGAAGAAAAGAAGTGGCCGAAGAATATAGAAAACACCTTAGCATTGTAACTAAAATACTTATATCAAAACTAAACCTATTATGTGAACAAATAAAAACCAGTCTGTCAAAAATGGTCTGTTATTGTAAACGTCAAAAAATTTCCAGTATAATTCGCTGTTGGGTACCCCACGAGAAAAAAATTTCCACTAAAATACCTCCGTTGCCATGGTGATCTGTCAAAAACACGTATTTTGATTGGTTCAAAATTACAGGTGTGGAATTTTCAGGATAACTTAAAAGTTCCCTGACAACTCTGCAGTTACTTGTTTCGTCCCAAATTTCCTTGACTTTCACAACGGAATGTTCTTTAATTAGATCTGTTACTACCGTTTTTGTTAGACCAATAAAAGAGCCAGGTAAAAAAAATATTTGGTTTGCTGCCTTCTTGGCCAGTGAATCAGCAAGACGGTTACCTTTCAATGCGGCTGGCGTGACCTTTGATCCATCTTAAGGTGGCCACATTGTTGATGGATACTTCGGCCAAAGCTTCGTATAGGGTGATTCTTTTAAAATTTTATCCGATGAAGTCATATCTTGATAAATATGACAGATGACGAAAATCCCCAAGCGTTATTAAATAGTGCATAAAATATATAAAAAAAATTATTGGAGTCAATTTTCAGTACAATCCATAATTGAGTCACAAATCTGGTGTTCCGCCAATTTTGGCCAACCCTGTATAACTTTTTAGTCACACAAAGGTGGCAAGTAAATTATTTTATGATACACCGAGGGAAATATATACAATATACATATATTATAAAAATTGGTTTTGAAAAATAGTAATTTGTATTCCTTAAATTCAAATATTTTTTTGCATAAAATTATGAAACAATCAAAATTTTTTATGTATGAACGATTTATTAAAAATTAGAATTTTTGAGGATGTATTTCGGATTTATGAGAATTTCTGTGGTAGTATGCAGGATGTTTAAGGATGTACAAGTATGAGGATATATAAGGATATATTTCTACCAAAATAATGTGGCTGTGCAAAATTTAGGTTAGTGGTTTGCCCTCCGACTTTTATTTTCCAGGTGAAAACGCAATACTCTGTATATCCAAAAATATTTTTAAAGTAATACTCTTTTGAATCCATATTACTTTTATAAGAAAGTTGTTTGTGTGTCTATAACAAACATTGAAATATCAAGAAATTACGCATTAATGGGGCTTCCTGTATATGATAGGTCGATATTATGAAAATTCACGAAATTTTTCAGTTATTGGTCTTATCTTTAAACAATACGACTGAATACTAATAAAATTATCTGCGCTTAGTAACTTTTCGTGACTTAGAAACTTAGAAACAGCTAAAAAATCAGAATTTAATAAGTGTTTTAAAACTTGCATTTTGTTTCTCATTTTTAACTAGTGGTGTACAAGTTAATGACCCCCTACTAATTAATTAATTGTACTCTTTCACAATTGCAACCAATTTTTTACCCGTATTTAAAATTCTATAACTTTTCAGAACGTATGATATCAGTATTATGTATGTACATAATGTGATGTTACATTATGTATGTACTTAATAAAAATAATAGAGCTCTTAATAACAAAAACACATGACCCTCTGCTCGGATGAAGGCGGCCGTGCAATTGAACTCTTTCATTTGTTTGTTTGCAGTTCAACGAAGTTTTTAAACTTTGATGTGATCGTATAGTGTGGCTTTGTTTTGACGAATTTTAAAACTGTTCCTATAATTTTTGAGGTTATTGCTTAATTGATATGTGGTGTTCTATTTGTTGATGTGTGTTCGTAATATGGAGTTTTGTGCATAAACACTTGTGTGTAAAATGAAAAAAGTGGTAGGTAATATTCAAATTAAGTAATATATACCTAATTATTTACAGAATTACCTACCTATCAGATAAATATTAAGTACAATATAAAAATTTCAGAAAATTGGATATTTTTTACGGTTTTCACAATATTGGTACATATTTATATAGGGTGACATAAAATTGATCGAACACATTTGATCGAATACATTTGATCGAAAATATTTGATCGAATGCATTTGATCGAAAAAACATTTTATCGAATAACAACTGATCGAAAAGAAAACTGATCGAACAGAAAAATGATCGAAAAGAACAATGATCGAAAAGAAAATTGATCGAAAATAGATTTGATAGAAAAAGCAATTTATCGAAAAACCAAATATACATAAAATTAAAAAAAAACTCGACTAATTTATCTAATCTGTGCGGCCTAGAGTCATCGCTCGTTGCTTCGCAAAAGAAATATACAAAAAATTAAAAAATAAATAAAACTTAAATAACCTACCTTACTTCTCATTTTTTATAATTTTTTTGCGAGGCAAACCGCGACTGCTCCATACCGCATAGGCAAACAACCTTTTTTCATAACAAACTTAACTAACTTACCTAACCTGTGCGAGAGCAATCAATTAAAATTAAATTGCTCCAGATCACACAGGTTAGGTAACTTAGTTTTTATTTTTTCCTTTTTTGTATATATATTTTTTTGCGAAGCAACCCTTGAAAGCTCCAGGCCACACAGGTTAGCTAAATTAGTTACGATTTTTTTAATTTAATTTTTCTATATTTTTTGCGAGGCAAACCACGACGGCTCCAGGCCGCACAGGTTAGGTAATTTGATTAAATTTTTTATAATTAAAATAACTTAACTGACTAACCTAATTTGTGCGAGAGCAATCAGTTAAATTTTTTATTTTTATAATTTTTTTATGAGGCAAACCGCGACGGTTCTAGACGGTTCTAGACGGTTCTAGACGGTTCTAGACGTCTTCAGAGAAGTTTTTTTATAAAAAAAAAAAATACCTAACCTGTGCGAGAGCTATCAGATAACATTCAAGTGATCTAGGTCGCACAGGTTAGGTACATTAGTTAAGATCTTTTTTAATTTTTCTCATTTTTCTGCAATTTTTTGCGAGGGAAACCGCGATGGCTCCAGGCCGCAAAGGTTAGGTAAATTTATTAAATTAAAAAAATATATTTACCTAAAATGTTCCATCGGGAGACAACTCGACCTTATTAAAATACATATTTTGTAATAATTAATCACAATGCCTTAATCTCAATGAAGAAAAATAACCGTTCAGCTCTAAAAATTTTAATTAAACAGTATTGTACGGATAACATTTGTTGAACGAGGTAGCTGCCATTAGTACCAAATTTAATAGCAGCTGAATTTAGTTTTCCCGGTAGTAGGAATTAGGCAGACGGTTGCATGGTGTTTGAATTTCTTTATATATGTTTATAAATTTATATTTTTTCGATAAAATGTATTTTCGATCAAATTTACAATTCGATCAAATGTTTTTGGATGAATTTTGTGCCACCCATTTATATATAAGTATCGAGCAATAGCTATTTATAAAATTTTGCAAATACCTTTTGTATGCAGGGTGATACATTTAAGGGTGACGATCGGCCGTATCTCCGAAACCGTACGCTCTAGAATAAGGAAAAAAATTTATCGGGTCTACAAAAATTCTTAAAAATGCGTTTTTTACAAAATATTTCCTTATTAGGTTTGGTAAAAAAATTGCAACTTTAGAAATTACTGCTTTTGTTTAAGTCATTTTCCTGTATCGCCTATTCTTAAGTGGTGGGGCAAGTATACTATCGTTGACATAAAAAACAGTAAAACAGTGTAATTTCCATATGGCTAAACCGATTTTCACAAGTGTAGACTTCATGCAAAAGGCATTAAAGATTTCAGAAACAAATAACAACACATTTATTCTTTCAATCGGCAACTAGAGGGCGTTGGATATCTCCTATCCCTATGTATTATTTTGAGAAATTTAAAATACAGCTTAAAAAAAGACAAATAATATGACTTATTATCCTATCAAAACCACAATCTGATATTTTTGTCGTTTTGGCTCACCCTGTAAGTTGTAAGAGAAATTATGTCGGTAAATTTATTTTGTAAACAAAATAAGTAAATTCTTGTTGTCTTATTCTCACCTGAAAATCTTTTTTTTTTTAATAATTTTCAAAACCTTGATTTAATTTAACAGTTTTGAAATACGATGGATAGTAAATAAGTCTACGTAAAATGGACCATTTTAAACACATTCGCTTATTTAGTTTGCCAGGGATGGACTAGCTTTTACCCAATAATGCTAATATTTTTTATGATAAAGACAACAATAATATTTTGGTCAGTTTAAACATTAAACCAAAAAAAGTGCCCTTGATAAATATCGATAAAGTTTCTTTTTTTCGTTTAAAATGGTTTTTTGCATTAGTTGTCAAATTTTTTTTGTTCCTATGGTTTTCAACGGTTTTTTTTAATAAAATTGTATGTGGGTTCAGTATGAGGACCTTCTAATCTAGCTCTAAGGATTGAAAACTTTATTCCATATTTCGCAACAATGAAAGTTAATCGTTTCTAATAAGTTTTCTTGTTCAGCTAAAGTTTCAGAAGTAATTTCTTGTAACCCTTTCCGATTTTGATCTTTTATTTGTTTTTGTCTATACATTTTTAAAGCTGTCTTGAATGTTATCATTCATAAGGTTTTAAACTTACACATTATTATTCAAAGGACCCCGCACGTATTTCCTTATGTAAAGTGGCGACCGGTCAAATTTTCTGAAACTGTGGTATGTTATTGTATTCACCCTAGTAACCAAGAATGTCAGTATAGGCCCAACTCAATCCTTTGACTAGTTTTCCATATTATTATATAGGGTATTAAAGTTGAAAACTGCCTAGTTTTCGAAATTTTTATTTTTAAACTTACGAGCTAGATTGAAATTCTGTTGTATACAGACGTTTACCACATGTTTTAGTAATACATTAGTACATACGTACAATTAAAAATATTTTTAGTTACAGGGTAATTCACAAATGTATGACGGTATATAGTTTTTCCAAAATCTCACTATTTGTGACGTCAGGGAAGCATATTCTTAAAAAATACTACACAATATGGTATTTTGGCAATAAAATATTATACAATACACATTTTTTATACAGGGTGTTCTAATAGAAACAGTTAGATTACCCTGTATGTTTTAAAATCTTATGGTTACACACCTAATGTAATGTTATTAACTTACTCAAAAGTCACTAAAGAAATAAAAGGTCGTCTTTTTAATAATTTCAAAACATAATTATCTTTTGGTGGTTGGCTGGATGGCTCACCCTGTTTAAAAATATATTAACTCAATGAAATAATTTCTCTGTGGCGCAAATGTAGTTATTGAGTGTTTGCAGAAACATACGAGATGTGGCAGAACTGCCACACCTCGTATTATAATTTATTCGTAAAGCACCCTGTAACACTTATTTTAAGCCACTGGCGGCTTGTGTCCAAAATATTGGGGGTTCACAATGACAGAATATAAGGTTTTAGTTTTAATACTTGTAATTAAAGTAGTTTCATATAAGTAGTTTGATTAAAATTTTAAATTTATTTCAAAATGTGGACGGAACAAAAATACAAATGCTATTATTTATCGATTCTACACAAAAATAACTCATTTTAATGTATATTTAATCTCAATAACTATTAATTTGACAGTGTCACACGTTTAAAATTTTAAAAATAATAGTAGTTGGATGGCCAAAATATGAACTGTGATTGGTGGATTTCATTTTTTTGCAATGTTCTCACTGCCTAGAATGGATACAAAATATATTCGTTCAGTTGAACGCAATAGCATACTTTTTCGTTTTATATTCTGTGCGTAGATAGCCTAATATCCACGTGGGTGTAGAAAAACGTAAATTACATTACAAGAAAAAATGGCAAATTTCAACACACTACTGTCAACTGACACTAACACACTGCCATAAATTATTCTTATTTAAATCGGTACATGTCAAAAAAACCATAGCAACAAACCATTCAGTCATTTTATCGATATTGATCAAGATTAGATACCTTTTCTTAGTTTAAGGTTTAAGCTGTCCAAAAATATTATTGTTGTGTCTTTATCATACAGGGAGTAAAAACATATTAACATTATTGTGTTGAAGCTAGTCCGTTCCTTGCAAACTAAATAAGCCAAATGTGTTTAAAATGGACCATTTTACGGAAAATTATCTAGTATTCATCGTATTTAAAAATTATTAAATTGTACCTACCAAGGAAGAAAAAAATTCAGGGGTGTCCCTTATGGGACCAAAAAGTTATAGGAACTTGTCATGTTATTGTTTTATCTGAATTAGGGAGATTGCTCACATATTCTGGGACACCCTGTATAATAGGTAGAGTACCTATCTACTTATTGAAATATTAGGTATATTATTATGTAGGTACCTACCCAGACAGCACACCAAATCCTTTGGATATCTACTGAACATCCCAATATCCACTGAATGTCCAGTCCATGGTAGATATCTATTTTATATCCATGAAATGTAATTTATAGACATGCAAATGTCGATAAATAATAGTAATTATATAGCAAATTATTAAAAAATTACGCAATTGTGCTCGCCATTGTGGCTAATAGTACCGTTCAGATATTTAAAATTAATTTTTTTAAGTTGTATTCAATATCCCATGAACATCCACTAAATATATCAAAGTCTAGGCGCGAACGCAAACCATCGTGGATATCCACTAGATGTTATTTGATTCTGCTTACTAAGTATAGATGGCGATACCACTATCGCATCTACTCATGCTCGACCCGCCATAATTGAGTTCGATCGTTTGTGTACTAATCACTCCATTAGAGACTGGAGTCGAGAATTTTTATTTATTGCTGAAGAATCCTAATAAGGATGACTTTCTTCTTAGTGGGCAAAATGAAAGGCAGAGTGTTGAAAATATTTTTTATCTCTGCTATTTTCTTTCGACGTTATTCAATAATTATTGGTTACTTATGAACCTCTACTAAAGATACTCATAAAATATTTTGCTGAATATCCGAATATCTTCTTATCCTGGGATATAGACGGACATTTGGTTGGATATCCATATTGGATATATTTAATATCCACAAAATATATTCTGTGGATATCTCTGGGATTTCTTGTATTTTCTGGAAGATACCTATTAGATATTTTGCTGAATATTCATTAGGATATCTTCTATTGGATATAGACGGACATTTGGATATCCATATTAGATCCACAGAATATTTCTGATATCCTGTGGATATATTGGATATCCACAAAAGATATTCTATGGATATCTCTTGGATTTGGTGTGTTGTCTGGGTACCTATTTAGGCACCCTATATAAACATGAACACTGAACAGCCTTTTATTCATTCGAATAATTTTATTTTCAAAGTTATCATTTATTTTTTGTACCTACTATCGTCATTTTTCAAGATAGTAAGTAGGTATTTTATAAACGACCAAACAATATTTTTTTATTAAAACACAAATCATCTCAGTCCGTTATCAAATTTTTAGAATAGTTATTCGACTACTCTCGTACCTACCTATCTAACACAGAAAGACGAAAATTGTTAAAATTCTCACGCTAAAATATTTCTAATAAGTGTTTTTTTGTATTATACTGTCTACTGTCTGTTTAAAATATTTCAAGTAGACAGATGCGTTGCCAAATTTTTATAAACAAATTAGGTAACATCTGCAATTGAAAATGACTTAGGTATTAGATAATTTCTAAATCTAAAATAAAAATAGAATATATTTTTTTATTGTAGTATTTTTTATTCATTGTAATACCTACTTATATTACATACACTAATAGAATAGATACTTTTTTGTAATTATTATCATGTACTTAAGTTATATTGCAAGATTTAGAAACTTTTACATAAGTCCTCGGTAGTATAGTGGTCAGTATCCCCGCCTGTCACGCGGGAGACCGGGGTTCGATTCCCCGCCGTGGAGAACTTTTTTTTAATTTTTTTTAAATTCATTTTTGCTTATAAAATAATTATTATTGTATTTTAGATTTTCAAATGAATTCAAAAAAGTAAATTTTTTGTTTTAGATGGGAATGTGGCAGATAATTCGAATTTTTCTCATATTAAAAATTAATTTTATTTATGGAAAGCTTGCTGGAGATCACATTTGTTTAACAGAAGAGACGTAAGTAAGCATTATCATTACAATTAAGACTTTTGTTTCCAAAATATAAAATATATTTCGCTTCTTCGGAAGAACGGTGACGCAAGTGCAAATTTTGTCTTTTTGAGTTAATTATGGATAAAGAAAATTGCATTTTTTCTATGAAAGAAAGAAAACTAAACTACATTTCGTCGCCCTCATCACGAAGTGGCATAAGTGACAAATAGTACATTTTACAGCAATAAATCGAAAATACGTAATTCTCATATCGTTATGCGTTATTGCAGATAGGACACAGAAATAATATGCTGTATTACATGCACTATTAAGGTTGTAGATGTGCCACTTCGTGAGATGATAAAGTAGGTCAAGACTAGTTAATCCGCACAAAAAAACATTTTTTTAATTTTTGTTGGTTTGATCACTTCGTGATAAGGGCGACGATTTGCTTTCTCGAAGTCCTTATCGATTATTTTCAAAATTGTAAGATTCATATTACATTTTTTGCATTTGGCATTTATGCGGAATCATCAATTTCCACTTGCGTCATTATTGTTCTTTGGGATAAGCAATATTATAGTCTCAAAATTGTATTAGACATTTATTTTCAATTATCCAAACATTAAGGTATTTTTTTTTTTTGAGGTATGACTAACGTATATATTCTTTTTAGATTTTTAGTTAATGTAACAGAACATTATGTGAAAAATGCAACTGTAAGAAATTACCACTGGTGTTACAATGTACCCCCAAGATGTTCTTTCTACACTGTTAAGAAAATCAATGACATAAGAATTGTCGTAAGTACATATCCTTCTTTTTAACATACTCTATATAGACCGATTTTGGTGCCCCATTTTCCCATACAAGTCTTGAAGAGGGTTGAAAAGTATATTAAAAAAATCATATTTCCTATCTTTCCTTATCTGTATACAGATAGGAAAGTAAAAAAAGAATACATTATACAAGAGTTTAGACACTATTCCTTGAAACGTTTTGAGATTATTTATTTAAAAAAATTATATTATAGTTCGGTGTAATAATGTTTTTGAAAAAAACACTCTCTATAATCCACTACACTTTACAGGAAACCGATATTAGACGATTTAAGATGGGTTATGAATAAAAACATTGAAGTGAAACGCATTCCTAGTACTGTTATTGTATTGCCAGATAATACCGTGTGAGGTTTTTCCATTTCTTATAATAGAGTCGAGCTATCGAGTTCCGCTCACCCTGTATAAACGAATTTACACATCTTAAAAAAACCGGTATATTTTAACATTTTTAAAAACAATTCTGGAATCTGTTAATATATAAAAATTGCGAAATAATTGTTACAAAAATAAATAAGATCCACATTTTTGAAAATAAACAAGTTACATATTAAATAGATACAGCGAAATCATAACTCGTAGATTTATAGGCCACTCCTCCAACCTCCAATCTACGCAATAGACATACTTACTTAAAGAAAATATTGTGTGATGATCAGTAATTTATAATGGAGTATCCACTTCACAATTTCAATTTGAATACCTATCGAATACAAGTGGATTCGAGTGGAATTCGAATTAGGCAATAGTTAAAAAAATAATAATAAATGGATGGGCTAATAAACGATGAGAGCAAAAACGCAACATTTTCGTAACAAGTGAGATCGAATAATTCGAATATCACCGCGGGATATCTACCTATTGCCGCTAATTCTATCTCAGTAAATCTTTTTTCTTAATTATGATTAATAAATTGTCAATTTTAATGGTGTAACGCAGGATATGTATCATAAATTGATTATGTATACATACAAATTTGGAACTGGGGGATTTTGGGGACGAGAAATCATAATCTGATGCCTACTCTGATATAATTTATAAAGGGCGCTATATAGGCCAGATTTGTGGAATAAAAATGTGCGCTAAACTTTTTGAATGTTTAAGTTAGCGCTATATTTGTATACGTATCCGAAAACGTTAAAGTTATTGCAAAAAAATTATTAAAACATATATATTCCTGATTAACAACATTTCATTAAAGTTGCTTCAAATCGTAAAATTTTAAATTGAGGAATTTACCACATTTCTGTTTACAATTACTTTAGGACCATCCTGTATAAATATTACGATATTCCAAAAGATCGACCCATGCAGCGTGGGCCAACGAAAACGAAACGGTTCAAGTTTAGGGTTCCTAATGTCAATAAACAAAAATCGCTTGAACACGTCAATTTATTTGTCGAGGGGAAACACTTTAGACTTATTTCCAAACTCCTACCTTTAACCCCTTGAACAGGGTGCTTTACACCCCTAAAATCTTGAATGGGAATTGGGGTTGAGTGACTCCTTGTTTGAAAAGTCTTTCAATTATGTTTTCAATGCTGCCTCATTTGTGAAATGGAATGTCATTTTGATATTTTAAACTTCAAATTTATTCGTTTCATTTACAAAGACGCTTGAAATTAAAATTAGTTTAATAACTGTTCAAAGTGCTGGCCATTGGCTTCCAAGCAGTGATACAAGTTCTCCTTAAATCGATATTTGACATTAAAGAGCATTTCTGGTGTTATAAGATGGCACTGGCGAATAATCCAGCACTTTTTAATTTATGCATAAAATAAATAATCTTTATTGTACCTCTAATATGGGAAGTTTCACTAGTTTTGCGGATGATACAGTTGTTATCTATAGAGCATTCAATATAAAAACCGATGCACGTCAGAGATGACGTCAGTGACAATCATTGGTACCACACACACTAATAAAAATAATTTTATTTTGCAAATAAATGAATAAATTTAGACGCATGGAGTTCATTTTTATAAAATTGCATATTAAAAATGTATTTTTTATCATATCACAGTAGTAAATGTACTGTAGGCAGATTATTAACATAATACTTTCTAGTGAATTTCATAATAAAAGTTGGCATCAAATGTGTCAGCTTTCAATTTTAATACATTGTTGTCAATTGTTATTTGTTCTGTATTATTTTGCATTGATCGATTTATTTTCAACAAATTATTTGTATTTTAGATTAAATTATTAACAAACTGTTCTTTTTAGAACAAATTTATTAGGAATTTAATAGTTGTATTCGTTTATTGTGTATTTTTTCATTGAAAAATGCCTAGTGGCTTCTCTAATAATTTATTTTGAGAAAGAACGTGATAATAATGGGCCTTTGTTACCATTAACAGCTGTAAGAGAAGTGAGTTGATTAATAATGTATCACCGTCAAATTAATATAATTATTTTGTTTCAGCGTGTCGCAGAAGCACTTAATCTCAATTTTTCTAGTGTTAGTTCTATTTCACAAGCTGTAAAGAACAGTGAAGTTCTAAAGTCACCACCAAAAAAGCGCCCTAGGCAAAAGAAAGTTACCAACACAAGAATTCTGAATACCAGTGCTATTCGAGATGTTATTTATAGCATGTACGAGTCTAGTAAGTGTATATGTATATAAATTATTATTAAACAATTACAAATTAATATATGATTTCAGAGGAGCATGTAAGTTTAGATTCTTTATTGGTGAAACTTAATGAGAAGGAGTTGTTTAATGGATGTCGCACATCATTGCATACCTTATTATTAGAAATAGGTTTCAAATGGCAGAAAGATGAACCAAGGCAATGAACCATCTTTAATTGTAATGGACAATTCATACCATAGCACATTGACACACAAAACACCGAATAGTAATTCGACTAAGGTTCAAATTCAAGAGTGGTTGACGAATCAAAACATACCTTATTCAGTCACCATGTTTAAGTCTGAACTTTTGAACCTTGTTAGACGGTGAGTAATGGAAATCTACTTTTTCTGTATTTTTGAAATGATTTTATTTTTTTAGTAATGAACCACCAAAAATATATGTAGCTGATATGCTGGCTGAACTGTATGGACATAAGGTGTTACGGCTTCCTCCTTACCATTTTATTTTTAATCCAATAAAACTGATTTGGGGTATTTCAAAACAATATTATAACAGGCACATTGGTCGGGATGGAAAGACACAAAGAGATTGTATAGACATATGGTCTGAAGCACTCCGAACCATTGCCCCACAAATGTGGGCAAACACTAAAAAAGAAATTTTTAAATGGTGTGAAAAAGAGCATATACTGGACCGATTGGAAATTGCTCCCATTATTATAACACCAAAGAGAGATGATTCTGATTTTAGTTCTGATTATTCTGACTGATTTTAGCTTAAATATTATTTAAGTTTTAAAATGTTATGTGTTGTTAATTTTATTACCTAATTGTTCTAATTGTTGTTACTTCTTTTAAATCTGGATGTTTATAAACCAACTGAACATAAATATTTTTTATTGTAAATGAAATCAAGCCTAAATAAAATTTGTTTGTTTTTTCATCCTTAACCTAACCTTTTTTGTCATTTTAAACCTCTTGTGCAAAATTTATTACTATTCAATTCAGTGTTTTTCTAAAAGTTCAATTTAAACATTATCAATGACCTTCATTGACTTTTATATAGAATTCATTATACATTTAAAATTAATTGTTCCTAATAACATAGCCAAAAAAACATAACCTCATAGTTTTTAAAATTCCTACATTCTTAGACTATTTTGAAGATTGGGCAACACTGCAAGGCTATGACTTCACAACTGATTAATGACGTGTATCGGTTTTTATATTGAATGCTCTATACTATGATACTTGTTGGGATACTCTAAAGAATAAGGTAAAGTCAGATCTAAAATATGTGTTTGAATGGTTTAATGACAGGCTGTTAACTGTGAATTATTCCAAAATTTACTATATAGCTTTTACTTACATCATGTTTCTTCAACTTACCAAACTACGATATAATTAAACTCTGTATAAATAACGAATTAATAGAAATTAAAAATACTTATTACATCAAATATTTGGGAGTCATGATTGACCAATATTTAAAATGGGATAATTAATACCAGTATGTTACAAAAGAAATTAGAAGCTTATCGTTTATAGTTAGGAAATTTTATGATATTTTGCACGATACACAGACTAACGGTTTCTTTTTTATACCATGGACTAACGGTATGTTCGTGCGCATGCAACCGATTAACGGTGACGTCACGTGGGACATAGAATTAATTATAAGCATTAAATGGGAGATAGTGTTTGAAATTCGATATTTCGCCAGTTTTAGATTTTATGCAGTTACTTAAGCTTTATTGGTTATTTTGTAACATATTCATTTACAAATACGAAGGTTTAAGGTAAATATTACTAATCCATAACCTGCCATAAGATAAGTAAAAAATATAGACTAAAAATACAAGTTTGACTCAAATTTGTACTTTCTGAGCATAGTAGTTCTCTTGCAATACCTTTTCTTATGATGTGAAATGAAAATAAGTGTGCAGAAACAAATTATTTATTTATAAAAATTAAATAAACAAAAAAATACTTTTTATTTGGTAAATTTAAACATTTTTTTGTCAAGTTTACTTTGAAAATACTCAAAACCAATTTTTCTGTTCGTGTATCTTATTCTTATATTATGTTCGTATCCTGTTCATGCATAGTACCTATTACTTCAAAAGAACCGTTATATTGGGACAGGAAACTACTGTTTTATCTGCTAAAATTTTAAAATACCGATTTATTTTCTTTGCTTAATGAGGCCCCATGCACCTGGTCGAATTCAGTTTCCTTTTTTTTGCGTCTATGTTTAAGAGGAATCTCACAGCTACTTTCCTCAAAGTGGATAGGTCAACGTCATGCTAAAATAAAAAAAAATATATACTTTTTATTTTAGCAACTTTTTACTGTCTCTAAACCTA